AACAATTTATTCTTATTATAATTTTAAAAAATAATATGTATGTGTGATAAAAAGAAAAAAAGTGAAATACTTAATTTTAAATAATAATATTAAAAATATTTAAATATTTTAAAAGATATTTCAATAGTAATATATACTTAAGTTAACATATACTTCATTAATATCAAGAATAGAACCTTATGTTTTCTTATCTTAAGTTCTATAAGAAATTTTTAAAGAACATCTTAATAAATCCTAATCATCTTGCATTATTTCTTCTAATAATCATTTAATATAGTTTTATACAAAAAATCTCTACATCCTTCCTCTCTTCTATTATAAGTTTAAAAAGACATATATGTATTTTTGTCAATTATATTTTTACCAAAGTTTTTTATTGTAATTGGACTTATTATTTTATTGATAAGAAAAATCTAAAATAATAATTATCATATTAAAAATTATATTTGCAATCTAATTTAAATATTAAATTAGAACATGATATTGTTAATAAATTCTCTTAGTAAAATCACAACCTCTTGGATGTAAGGTGCATGATTAGAATTATTTTTACTAGTAAAAATAAATACAAAAAAATTATTCTATTTATTTTTATATTCAATAACTTACAAGTAATTATCCACATTCGGTACTTACTTTAGAAATATAGAATACAAAAATAATCTATTTGTCTCTTTAATGCTATTCGGCATGTCTTAAAACAATCTTTTTATTTTTTCTTTAATGCTATTAGGTATGTCTTAAAATAAACTTCTACCATGTCTAAAATTATAATTTATTTGTAAAGTTAAATAGCTTTTTAAACTCTTAGAATAAAATAAAAGATTGTTGAAAATTTTTAAATATTTATTTTTATAAAGATTTTTTAATGAATAAAAATATCCAACTAATAATACTCATGTTTTGACTTGCAATAAATTCATCTATATCTTTTTAATGTAGGCTTGTCTTTGTTCTAGATAAAAAAATTAAAAAAAAGAAAAGAAAAAAAGATCTATTCATCTCATTTAGAAGATTTGTAAATCGTTTAAGATTTAAATTTTTATTCTAATAGTAATTTTATTTAAATTTAAATATTTATTTTATCATTCAAATATCTTTTTTTATATTTTAGCAAAACTCCTATCATGACCTTTTTAAAAAAATTAGCATATATATTTTTATATGTACATATTGTAGCCTTTGGCATACTACATGTAATTTTTATAGAAAACTAGATTAGAAAAAAAGATCAAATCTTGATTAAAGTGGTATCCATAAACCTAATAATTTATATCACATACAAATATTTTATTTTATTTAATATAAAAAAAAATTGACAAGTATGTTCAATCTTTTAGAACCTTTGTTAATAATAACTTCTATTGCATGTATTCTAACACAAAGGTGGTATCATCATATCTATAAATCTTGCTAAGTATGATACAATGTTCTTGCTGTAAGTTTGAAAATATTTATTGGTTAAAAAACTCAAATTATTCATCTGTAATGATAATTACCAATTTTTAATTAAATAGGTATTGATTAATTTCTTAAATAATAATTAAATAATTAAAAAAATATGATTAGTAGTATTTTAAAAAGAATAATATTTTTTTTGCACAGAACTATTTAACACTTACTAATACAAAAATTATACTAAGTTTTACATTTTTATTTAACTTTGATTTACTTTTCTTTGCATATTTTAGAAATTAGTTATAATTTTGTATTTTGGTGAAACTAAAAATATCTATATCATTATACATATTTTTATTTTTCTATTTTACAAAAATAATTTGATACAATAAGAACTTCTAAAGTTCTCATCTTAATTGCATTGAGAATAAGAAAATTAAAATAACTTGAAAATATAAAAAAATCACTTTATTGGTAGAAATAACAATATTGTAGTAAAGCCATTTCACCTTTTATAAATCTACATACCTATTGATCTTGCATTTAATATTATTAAATATAATCTATACTTTTCATTGTTAAAACTATTGCAAAAGAATACATTTGATTCTCTATTTGAGAGAAACAATGGCATAATAAGTTTTGATATTAATATCAATATTAAAAACTTCTTAAGTTTATAATTAATATATATAATTGAATATGTTATTTTTTTATCTATTACATAGATTCATTTGAAGCCAAATTTCTAATAAGATCTAATTAGAAATTATATAGGTTTTTATAAATTTATAAATTTATTTGATTTTGTGAGTATTAATTAGACCTGTTATTATGAATATAGATGTATTAAATTTTTAACAAGATTTTTTTAAAATAAAATTTATTCTTAATTGAATTAAATTTTTAATTGATTATAAGTATAAAAAAGAAAAAAATATTATTTCTATACTTGAAATATGTTGAAATATCAAGAGCATTCTTATATTTTTGATAATAGCAAATCTATCCCTCACTTTTGTCATAATATCAAAACTATCCCTCAACTTGATAAACTATCACAATTGTTCTTTTTTCAAGTAGAAATCAACCCAATTTTTGTAACTGTAAGAAATTGGCAGGCCCTCGTCCACATTGTTTGGCACAAAGTGTTGCTACTTGGCCATTTTTGGAAAATAAATAAATTCACAAACAATTAATATCCAATGGTTTTCTAAAATACAACGGCCTTTCCACATTTGTAATATCAAGTCAATGTTATTCAACTTTATATAGCTCAAATAAATCTTGTAGCTTCTATTGCCCATGGAATTTTGTATTATTCTTATACCATGATATTGTCATATTTACTACAAAGCTTTGCATAGATTAGAGTTCAGCTAAGAGGTCCCATCAAGAGATGGACAGTTTTGTAGGCTTTGCAGTATCATCTATAAGTGAAGAAAATGAGTAGATTTTCTATTTATAAATCAGTGGATATTACACCAATGCTCACACCTACCACATTGAGCAGCAGGGAAGGAAACTCATTGCAAACTCAACAAGTTATATTTTCAAAGTCTTCAATTGATATTTTCTTAAACAAGACATATTTTATTGCATTCCAAACTTAATTACCTTGTTGTAAAGTCTGCATAAACTTGGCTACTCTTTGTTCAAAAATCAAAAGAAATTCTTCAAATAATTGAAGGAGTTGTTAAAAAGACAATCTATTTGAGAAGCTAAATTCCTCAAATGTTTGTTTATTTTGCGACCAATAATTAGATGTTATTTTTTGGTTGATTCTCTTTTCCATCTCTCTTCTCACCACTACTTCCACTATCTTTGCATGTGCACTATAACGTGCCAAAATACACCCACTACTTCCAACTATCTTTGCATGTGCACTACAATGTGCCAAAATACACCCACTACTTCTACTATCTTTGCATGTGCACTACAACGTGCCAAAATACACCCAAATGTTGTTCAAAATCCATATCATCTATGTCTTTGACATTGTCGTGTTGTGCTTGCAATTGACAAATAAGGAATGTAACTATTTCACCAATAGACACAACCATCAATGCTTACAAACCAACACCGATTAATTATTTATAGACATGGATAATTGTGAATGCTGCTACTATCTAACATCACTGTTATTGTATATTAACAAGTGTTGATTGAGAGTATTTGAGCATTCATGCACTGGAATTTATTAGAGAAAACCTACATTGCTAAGTATGAACTTTTTGTGAATTTTGTTGGGTGGTATGTGTCTAAAATGTTGTGTATTCAAATTCTTCTTTAAAAAAAAATCTTTGATACGATGCATTTTGTAACTGCTTTTTTTAAATTAATATTTTTATATGGGCATGCAAAAGTTGGGAATGCAGCATAGCATTGCATTACGATTGATGGATTTGCGAACCACAGATATAGATGATGTGGATTTTGAACAGCATTTGGCTGTATTTTAGCACATTGCAGTGCACATGCAAAGATAGTGGAAATAGTGGTGAGAAGAGAGATGGAGAAGAGAATCGACCAAAAAATAATATCTGATCATTGGTCTCAAAATGAGCAAACATTTGAGGAAATTAGCTTCTCAGATAGACCAAGTCTTTTTAACAGCCCCTTCAATTGTTCGAAGAATTTCTTTCGAGTTTTGAACAAAGAGTAGCCAAGTTTGCCTGGACTTCACAACAAGGTAACTGTGTTTGGAATGCAACAAAAACGTCCTGTTAAGAGAATATCAATTGAAGACTTTGAAAATATAACTTGTTGAGTTTGCGATGAGTTTCGTTCCTTGGTGCTTCAATGTGGTGGGTGTTAGCATCGGTGTAATGTCCACGGATTTGTGAAAAGAAAATCTACTCATTCCCTTCACTCGTGGATGGCACTGCAAAGCCCACAAAACTGTTTATCTCTTGATGGGACCTCTTACCTGAACTCAAATCCACGTACAGCTTTGCAATAGGTATGACAATATCATGATGTAAGAATCATACAAAATTCCATGGACAATAGAGGCTATAAGATTAATCTAACTTGCATCAAGTCAACCAGCATCGACTTGATGTTACAAAATGTGAAAAGGCCATTGTATTTTAGAAAACCAGTGGTTTTCAATTGTTCGTGATTTCATTCATTTGCTAAAAATGGCCGAGCAGTAGCCAAATAATGCGGCCGAGGGCACAAGTCATGAAGGTCGGGTCTATTTTCACTTAAAAAAGAACAATTGTAATAGTTTATCAAGTTTAGGAGAAGTTTTGATATTATGACAAAAGTGAGGAGTAGATTTGCTATTATCAATAATACAAGGGTATTTATATATATATATATATATATATATATTTATGTACAAACACACAAACACACAGATAACCTCTTCGATTACAGGTTCTCTTTTGCTCCAAACTTCATAGGAGGCATGCAGTTTCGGGCATGAAACAGGCACTTTGGACCGGAATGGCAAATCTGATTCTCGAAAAACGCCACCAAAATGCAGCACAGGATGTCCTTCACGTTGTCTTCCATCAAGGCAATCCCCTGCGAAATGTCAGCAACGTCATATGGGATGCACTCTATAAGCGGATTCGGCCCTAAGCGCACCGAATTCACATAATTGCATGGACTGTGCGCGGCGAATCCCGGAATCGCCAATCCCAGAATGGTGAACAGCAGGCACACCGTCGACTCCGAGAACTGATTGCCGTACAGGAGAGTGATAAAGAACAAGCCTTGGACAATCTCCCACACTGCGTTCAGGTGCACAATTATTGTCCACAGGATGCTGTAGTTCCGGTTGGGTTCTTCCTGAACAATGATTCCGTTGTACACGCTGTTGAAATAGTTACAGTCGCCGATGTGCTTGTAAGCCATGACGATGTCGTCGAACGGGACTCGAGGAACCACATCGTTGCAGTAGACGACGCGGAAAAATTTGCCCTTGAGCTTGGAGTTCGCGTAGTTGACGAAGTCCTGGTCGCCGACACGAGGCTGGCCGAAGGTGTAGACGGCTCCGATCTTGGAGGCAATCTCGGTCTCGCCGGTGTGGTGGAGCATCGTGGCGTAGAGGGAGGCGAGTGCGCCTCCAGAGAGTGTCCCGTGATGAAGAGCTTGGCCCTGGGATTTTCATTGAGGATAAGCCCCACCCGTTTCGTAATGGCGTCGTACGCCTGCTCCTTGGCAGGATCGTCAATGATGCCTTGGGCGAGGCCGGAAATTGGGGGGGCTTTTTCGATTTCCTCTTTGGATCGGCGATGCGGGGTGACGGGGGTACGGGTAGCAGTTGCCTCGGCTTGTTCTCGCGCTTCGGTCGCTTCGCTTGATTCAATTGCATTCGTGTTCAGCCTCTCAATCGTATCAGGATGTTTGCGACTGATGAACCCTAGCGCTTCGAGAAACCCCTGGTGGACGTAGCCCAGGCGATCCAGTTTCACCCAAGTGAAGTCCAGATCGGTGCTCCAGTCGTACGCATTGAATGCTTCCGTACCGCGGAAGGCCACCACGACGGCGTTCGCGTCTTTGGGCTTGTCGGTGAAGATGAATGCCTGCGTATTGACCATCTGCTGTTGCTCTGCAAGCAAAACCACACGACATGGCATCAATCAGACGTCAGTCGTATCCACTGAAACGTTCGGGTCGAACCTGGAGCACAAGCAAGATTGTGCTCACCGTTCCAGCATTCGGAAAACTTGACGAAATTCAACTTCCAGATGTCTTTTACCACTCGCTTGACAACAGCTGGATTCTCGTATGCCAGCTTTGCCGCCATGACGCATACATCCGCGGTGGATCGCGAGCCAACGTTCTCATCTGGGAAAACTACTGCGTCTGCTCGAGTGCTGGAAGCCTTGCCCGGTCTCGACGTGTCCACGTACAAGTCGCAACGGGGATCCAGCGCCCCCACGCAGCTCAAGAAGTTGTCCGCGGTCGGATCGGGTAATATGATGCGACCTGCAAGTCATCACAAATAATCTTTATGTTACCCAACTGACGGTTCGACTTGCAACCAAGTCACAAAGCCGCACCTCCATGAAAAACACGGGAGGTGTTGATCATCGACGCGTTCAGAAGTGTACTGACCCCATTGGAAGGTGAACAGTTTGAAGAGCAGACGGAAGAGCCCGCCGTTGAGGAGAAAGAAGTTGATGGTCCATTCGACGATGGAACCCAGCCAATTGAGGGGCCTGTAGCAGGACTGCAGGGCTTGCACCACGATCAGGGAGGTGATCTGCTGCCATGAGAAAGTCGGGCAAACCTCGACGATGGGTGGCATCTTAATGCGCAGTCTTAGCCTCAGAATCTCCGCCTGTGCGTCAATATGTTTTCTACAAGAGGGCCGAACTACGATTCATATACGTGTTTCTGCTGTAAAAGCGAACTTCTATATACTTCTGCAGTGTTTGCGTAATGCTCGGCAGTGCGACTGTAAGCCCCTCCAGCAGTTTCTATATGCTTCTGCAGTGCATGTATAGTGCTCTGCTTTGTAGCGCTGTGGCCGATTGGTGTCGGTCGGTGTGACGTAGATGCTAAACTTGGACCATGTGGGAAACTTTACGGCGTTGTTTTAATCACATGCACAACCTTTGGAGCCGAGGGGTCCCTGGGGTGGAAGTGATTCCTCGTTCAGAAACATGTCATGGCTGCATGTCACTGGTTTCTCAAAGCGTGTCTGCTTAAAAATTGAAAGAAATCGTATGACAAGTTTCAATAGCAACAAGGCATATCTGCAAGAATAAAAAGATCTAATGGACTTCTAAAAAACTTGTTTTAAGTTTTTTAAAGGAAGTCATTATGTACCTAACATGTCCTACCTACTTCTACTTACTTCTATTTATTTGGATAATATATGTATATATCATATTTCTCTTGCTAACTTTCATATTTATATTGGTCAAAATTCCATCTAAATTTGATAAAATATTATCTTGAAATAACTTAATTTGACCTTAACTTTGAATCTTAAATTTTAAATTTAAAATCTCAAAATCCTAAACTTCTAAATTTAAATTTCTATGTATTAAAAATTTAAATTGAAAAATGTAAATTTAAATATTTTTATAATGAATTTATCTAAAATAAATTTATTTTCCTTCAAATATTTTTTATATATTTATAATTTTTTTAAATTAAATTTAAAATTAATTAGAAAAGATATGATACAATGTACAAATATTTTTAAATGTAAAATCTAAATCTAAACATATTCTTATAAGGTCTTCAATCTTTTTTACTTTTATTTGCTTTTTATTACTTCTTGCTACCATTACTAGCAAATATATCATTTATGATGACAACATCTTTAATTTGACTTTGTTAATAATCAATTTATCAACTTGTATTCATAATAAGGCATTTAACTATCATTATAGCATAGAAAAGTATATAAAAATATAAAATTTAATCAATCCAATCAATTTGACATGTACTTATTATAATTTTTGTATAAATATTGCTAGAAGAAATCTATTATTTATTTGATGAAATTCTTTATTTTAATGACTACTTTTCTTTAATATTTTAAAGTATGGCATATTTTTTATATTAATTTTAACGCAAAAATTCTTCTTTAATAAATTCAATCTTTCAAAAATAATTACAAATTTTACCTAATGCAAAGGATTAAAATTCTAACTTTCTTAGATAAGTTTAGTCAAGTCATCAAAATTTAAAAGTGTGTTTGGTCTTTAGCCTTTTTCAATTCTTTTTAGTATTTCTTTCATCTTTTGAACATTTTAAAAAATCTTAAAATATACTATTAAAAAAATAAATATCAACTTGAAAAAAATACATTGACATTATATGATATTAAATTTTTAATTCCTTCAAAGTCATTTGTTTAAGAACAATATAAAAATTAGAAGTGGGGGTTTTTTATCCAACCATTGTATTATTGTTTCTTTGAGCTTAGTTTAGTTTTTTCGATAAGTGCTTCAAGATTTTCAATAGATAAAGATAGGTTAGATTGTTTAGATCTAGTAGAACAATGCATCTATACAACTATAAACATATCGTTCAATTTATTGTAATTTAATCTATCAATTCCACAAGCAATTTAGTTTTTTGCTCTTCCACTTATAATCTACTTAAAGTATCTTTTGACAAGGAAGGAAAATATAACAAAAATAATCCAAAAAAAAATACTTGCTTGAATATCATTTCAAGTACGACTTTTTCCAACTTTCATTGTTATACAAAACTAATATTGTGTAGGAGTGATCCTAAGCAATCTTATTTGTAAAAAAGATTTCCATACAAAGATGGCAAGAAGTTCAAGTTTTTTTTTTTTTTTTCTTGCCTTTTCATAAAACAAATATTAAAAAATTACTAAATATAATAGTTTATAACAAAAATAATGTTACAAAAATGATTCTTTGCAAATAATTCACATGACATTAAAAAGAATTCATCTAATTGTATCTCTAGCCAACCTCACACTTGTCAAGAAACTTCGTAAAAATACATGACTTTTCTTCAAATTAATCTCAAATTAAATGTTCTAAATAGAGATTTAAGGTTTAAGATTAAAAGATTAAAGGTTCTATCTACCTCCTTCCTTCTATATCTAGAAGAAATGGACACTTACCTTTCTTACATCTTCTTCTTAGATTCTACCTTCCAATTCCTAGTTCTTACTCCTTGCATTCCAATGATTTGCTAAAACTTCAAAAAAGAAAATAATTCACAAAAGTTCAGGGACTTATTTGTTTGCAAGCTATTAATATTTTTTTATTTTTTTTTGTATTCCGTCTCTTCAAACCATAAATTGTGTTAGCAAATAAATTTAAAATTCAATAAATTTTATTGAAAAGATACTTATTTTGGATTATGATTTAAATTGGTTTTTTTTTTTTTTTTTTTTTTTTTTTTTTTAAATTCCTTCTATCTAACTTTTCTACATTTTTTTCTTCTTGAATTTCTTCTTATGCTTTTGTTGATGAAGAATTCTCTCAAGATTCTTGTTAAGTGTGAAGCTAAATTTCAACACTTGATGAAACCTATGCCACACAACAAGTCCAAGAGGTGGAATTGGAGAGCTCCCAATTGTGTAATTGTTAGATTAATTTAAATCTTTATATTAAAATTCAATTAATTTTAGGCCTTCCAAGCAATGGTTACCAACACTAAATTAATATGTTAAATAAAATTTAATATACAAACACAATAAAAATAATTAACTAAGTTATTACTATTAATTGACCATAAGAATAAAAACTTAAGTTTGAATTAAAAGTTAAGTTAAAAGTTAAGTTAAAAAAAGTTATAATTAAAAATTAAGATTAAAAAGTTAGGTTAAAAGTTAAAATTAAAAGTTTAAATAAAAAAGTAAGTGAAAAGTTAAAATTAAAGGTTAAGTGAAAAAGTATGTAAAAAGTTAAAATTAAAAGTTAAGTGAAAAGTTAAAATTTAAAGTTTAAAGTGAAAATATTAAAGGTTAAAAGTTAAAATTTATTAGCCAAAAAGTGAAATGTGGAGCTTACAAGTCACTGTGAAGACGATAGTAAAAATAAAGTGAGAGAGGTAAAACCGAAGGTACCTTGACAACACGTAAGGATTGAAGGCAGCAACCCCCTTCAACTCCAAAATTCACCAAAATTTGTAATCGGCTTCAATTTGAATGATTCTTAGCTTGTTGCAAGGCTAATTTAAAGGCGCTTTTGATCCAACAATCTTTGTTTCAATCTAATGATCTAATCGTGAGAATTCCTCCTTTGAAGTTGAGTGATCCAAACTACCGCGGTGACCAACCCTCTTCTCTTAGAAATTCACTAAAACTTCAGATTGTCTTTAAATTCAATAAAACTTGTGTCTTTCAGAGCTTAGCTTATAAAGCTTGATGATTCCAAAATTTCAAATAAATCCAATCACTAGGCACTGAGAAATGCCTTTCCAAACTTGATTGATTCAAACTGCAAAGGCAATCGACTCCCTCAAACTCAGAAATTCACCAAAAATCTTTTTTTACTCCAAATCGAGTATTATCTTGTTGGAAAGCTAACAACAAAAGCTACAACTATTCAGAATCTCACATTGAAAAAATAGAAGTTGAGTGACTGATTGAAGAAAATCCGAGGCACTTAAAACCCTTGGGATATTTGAAAGGCCGAAGAGATATCTACTTCAATGAAACCTATTTTAAAACTTAATGACCATCCTTCACAATTCAAAATCCATACATATACAATCACAAGGTTCACAATGAGAATTAACATCTAAATAAAATTAAGATTAGGGTTTTGGCCAAATTTTGGCATGGCTTTGCCCTTCACTAAAAAGACGAGAGAGAGAGGGCTTGGAAAACCAAGCCTCTCTTATACAATTGAATGGAGGCTTGTAGAAGGGTGGCTACATTTCCACCCTTAATTTTTAAGATCCCTAATCTAGATCTAAGGCCTTCATTCATCCAAGAGCCAATCTCGTTACCAAGGCTGATGGCTCTTGTAAGTGGTCAAGAAAGCATTTTTTTTGTAAATATAACTATACTATTGTGTTCAAAACACCTTTTTAAGCTAAGGTCGACTACTCACATGCCTCAATCCATGCTCAATTATAATTTTTATGGAAGTTTTTACTTACAAAGATCTTGGTAATTTTTGTGAAATTCTTCAAAATGAGAATTTCATTGCTTCTCTTGTAATTTGAAGGAGAGGTTGTTGATCTTATTTTCTTCACTCCATTAGGTAAATCTGGTGCCACCATTGCATTAAAAAGACTCCCATTAAGTGGAAGAACCACCATGTCGCTTAAACTTGTCGAATTTTGAGGAAAATCCAAAATTTCTATTGCTAACTTCTCTAAATGTTTTAGAGAATTATAATTCCAACTCCTTAATCATTTGAATTATCATAGATGCATTCATAAGCTTTTAGTCAACCCTTATAGTAATGACTAACAACCTCTAAATTATTAAATTAACTAAGTTGCTATTCTAATTTTTTAACTCTTATCACTTTAGTCCTAATTAATCTAATTCAAGGAATTAGACTATGCTTTACACCATCAAGGATTGTAATATTTAAATATAAAATTTAAGAATACAACATAAAATCAAAAATACAAATGATTGAAGAGATAGAAATCACTAACCTCAATCATATTCTGCTTAAGGTAGCAATCTCTCTCCACTCTAAAAATCGCCAAAAATTCAATTTAAATTCAATAACATTGGATTTTAAACCAGTAAAAATTCAGCTTCAAGATGATTGTATTCAATAAATCCCATTGTTAAATTATCACCAAATACTAAGAAATGTCTTTCCAAACATAGAATACATGAAATTGCTAAAGGAATGAACCTCTTTTTAATCTAAAATTCACTACAAATTCAAATCAACTCCAAT